CAAAAAAGTAATTGGGGTTAATACGTTGGAATCACAAGACCATAAGTACAATTATTCAACAGGAAAATTGTCCATTCAAAATCAGCGCAAGCTAGTAAAAAGGTAAAAAGTCCAAAAAAGGAAATGATGTGATATTAGATATTCACATCGAAACGGGGCGAAATGAATTTACTCTGCGGAATTTTTAAAGAATTTCTCCCAGTTTGAGGCATTCATGGAGCGGCCCCTGGGAGCTGGTCGGCAGTCCAGTCCATCAGCGTCAGTCAGCTGGCTGCAAAGTCAAAAGCGAGAAGCCAGGCCCACATATCGCTTACCAACTTGTCAAAACGTCAGTTCACACCTGTGGCAGTCGAATGAAAACAGGAGCCTTGCAGGTCGCATGGAACGCAGTTATGAATGGCAGTTAAGCACTGCATCCTTGGGCACGGGAATAATCTCCAAAGGGCACCAGAGTCCCCAACCTCAAAAAGCACAAAGAGGAGATGGCACTTATTACACTGCTCTTGGAAAGATACTATCTTCGGGAGATTTGGTCACTGTCACTCGATGCAAATTATGGTGATTGCCCCTTACGAGTTTTCTATTTGCCACAGAACCAGGAGAAAAAGGGGTTAGTGGGCTTTACTACAGATAGCTCTTCAGTCATTTTGTTTCAAGCTTACCATTCAATATACTGGCTAGTTCAATGACTAATAGCAACGGCAAAAAGTTATTTAATGCCCTTGATTGCATATCAAAAAGGACGTGCATTGTTAATATTACGTGTATAATATTAATATTAAATTTCTTGCATAATATCTGCAAATAAAAAGGCAAGTCTTTGGCACTTCAGTCGGTAATAAGAGGTGTTTATTGTTTTCTATTGTTCATTGTTTCTGTTCCTTAAGATGCATAGGATTGAAATGGATCGATCTGTCATATTGAGTGATAAAGATTCACCCTTTCACTTACCTGCACAGTTGCTATGTAGGGTTATCACTGTCAGCAGCGTCACAAAAACAATAGTAGTAGAGACCATCGTGGTTACTTTTCTTTCAAAGTCAGTTATCAGTCGGAAATTTTCGCTCACTCTATGCGCACATTACATATTTACACATATGGAACGCCGTTTTTAATGGGGTTTCTCTACGAATTGTCGCGTTTTGTTTGTCTTTTTTCCATGTGTTTTTTGTGTTGGTCTATTATCCAATGCTGTATCCAATTAGCCACGTTTGATTCCGTCACGAACTTAATTACTTTTGATCACAAATTGATAAGTAGCATTTATCAATTAATGTGCGAAAACCAGAGCAGGAAATGTGAAAAAAGAACAATGAGTATGGCAGATAAATATATAGACCACGAACAAAATAGTTTTTCGTTTTTGGTGCAGAACGTAAGTTTATAAAAACTAGCAAGCCAGTTAGTGGCCTTAAAAAAATAAAATGTTCAAACTCTTTAGGGCATCCAATGCGCTTGTATTCAAAAATAAATTTTCGAACGTGTCAATGTACCCTCTGAAAGGGTATGAATGCTAATTATTTTTATTGATAGCGGCGCCCACACTGCCGTTTGTCAGTTAAGCAATCTAATTTATCACTCGATTAATGCCGCACGAAATTCTTGAGAGCCGCGCGGTCTACGAATTCTGATTATTGCAATTCAAAGTGAGCTTCGAATTTGTTTCCCATATTGATATTGTTATTAAATGGTCTTCGGTGCTATTTTTGGCCAGCGCCAGGTGAGGGGCTCATGGGCTTTGCTTTCTGTTTTTTGTTTTATATTTTGAATTCTACATTTTTTAAGAACCCCTTTAAAGTCGAACGACGAACGGCGATTTCGTGTTCTTATTAATTGTTCTTTTTTGCCGATTCACTTCATGCCGAGTCGCCTTCAGTTGGCTCAATCGGTTTGTAAATGGAATAATTTAATTAAATTATTTGGGCGAGCAATGTGGGTTTACTTCACAGTTGGCTCTGGCTGCCTTACACCAAGAAGCTGAATGGTTTTTGGACAGTTACCACAATTTGTATACACTAATAATGCTAATTTCGCGTTTTCTGGCCTCCCTTGCACAACTTTGAAAATTCGAAAAACAATAGAACTAGTACGTTGGCAAATCTAACGAATTCCAAGCAGCTTCACTCAACGAGGACGTGCCATGAAAAGACAAAAAGGTAGTGGAAGCTACCACTCCATGCCCCACAGAGCACTGTAGGAACTCCACTCCACAGCGCTCCAGTGCGGATGGATGGGTGGCATGTGTGTGGTATCCAGCGGTGCACGGCAGGTGTGATAAAAGAACCCGAAAGAGACAATTGCGGCGTGAGTTACCAGCTGGACGGGGAATGGCAATGGAAGATAGCGCGCATAATTCAAACGAGCCCAAAGTCAAACAACGTGATAAGCAATTCACAAACACTGGCCGAAAACCCGAATGCGAAATAGTTGTGTGAAGCTGCTGGAAACTAGAGCTCTGGGCCAAAACACACTGACTTTTGGCACACTTCATTTATTGGCAAAAGGCACTTAGTTACTACATGTTCTGTTCGTTTTGAAACCACATTTACTGGAGATAGTTTCTGGGGCACAAATTTTTGTCGCAGTGCACTCAAAGAGCGAGCGACCGAGAGACCGACTAACTGACTGACTGACTGACTGGCAGTCCAAGTGTCTGCTGTCTACTTTTCGTCTGTGGGCCTCTTCAGCACCTGAGTACTTTAAAGTTCAAATCTTTTGACACACTAGGAGCTCAGTTGGCGGATGCTAATGACACAAGACTGACACAAAGAGGCTTTGCCTTTGCTTTTGCAGCAGACACACACATTCACTGGGAGCCAACCGGTTGCCAATTGGAGGGGCTTTCAAAGGCTCGGGCCATGGCGCTCCCCATTAAAGGTTAAGCGCGACCCCGCCGATCCGGGCGAACCTTAAAGGTGCGTCTACAGCCTGTTGCTCGAAACGCCAAAAATGGCAATTTCCATATAAAACTGCGGAGCCGGCCAGCTAACAAACATCCGACGACCGCAAGAGTCAAAGTACGACTGTGGAGGTTCTTCAGTGTCAGTGACTGCCCCCGACTGTTTTTAACTGCACTGCGACAAAAAGTCTAGGAGTCAGCGGAAAAATCCGTCTCTTACTGAAAGCAAGATAAACAAAAACTATTATACTAAATAACATTTTATCTTTCAAATATTTAATGAAATAAATTAATGAAAAAATTAAAAAAAAGGTAAATGTTACGTGTGTAAGAATATTAGTATGACTTGTAATATAACAACAAATAGTTGGTTCCTTGGAGTTTTAGGACCCCATTATTAAGTCGAATTAATATTATTTTGTAATAATCTCACTTTAAAGGCTATGGGTAAAGGGTGAAAAATAATAGAATAAAACGTAGACAAACAAAATAAAACAGCATTACGCTGTTTTCTTTAACCTAGTTTTCCTTCCAGTGCAATCGGCTTGTTAGTTGCCGCTGTTATTTCTTCGTTCTCAGACATCGGCGAATTGGAAAAGAATGCCAGAGTAGCATCAATAATTTTGGCCTGGGAGCCCAGAACTCTAACTCGGATGCCATTTCCACGAAAAAGGGTTCAGGAATGACATCCGCCTTGGAGGTGGCGTATGCGGGATGGTCTAGTTGCTCCAGAACAATCAGCAATAGCACATATTATAAACTCTAATTGATCTTATTGAATGGGTTACAAACACATTGGTAATATGCAAATTCAAATCGCGATTGTCATTTGCATATGCTAACAATTAATTTTCTGTCACCTAGGCAATCAAAATGAAATATCTTGCAATTAAACTCACATTTTTTAACTTGTCTGAGGTGAGTATTAACATTTTTATTGACTTTCCATCGGAGTCAGCGCAAACACTAAGGGCAGTTAAATTATTATTATTTCATTCATTTTGTTGAAAGTACAAGTTAAGATGCCTTTCCATGGTAAAAACAAGCGCAGTACCATTATCTTAAAAATATTAATTATTAATTACAAGTATTAATTAGAAAATAAATAAAATAACAAATTTCCGACCACCCATACTTAAAATGTCTTACTATCAAAGTTGTGAGCACCGAACACCTGTATTTTTTAGTAAATCGTTTTCTCGACTTCAGTTTTAGTTTATTAAAATATTTCCCCCAATAAACTGCAATTACTTGAAGTCGCAAATTGAGTAAACTAATTCAACTTCAACACGCACGGCTAAATCACAATTATCCGGTGCCAATCTACACGATGTTCTGTATTGAGTTGTCAGTGCCATTAGACGTGAGGATATTGGCTGCATTTGGAAAATCCGCATCAGGAAAACCTGGCCATAACTGGCAAATAAATTTCAGAGTTCGCAACAAACGTAAACACGATCTTGATTTTGGTAGACGCGATTTATGGAGGCTTGCAGCTGCTGCAGCTTTTCACAGACTCCTTAATTGTTCGCCCCAAATGGCAATTATTTATGGGACAGTTTCAACAGTGTAATTAATTAGCCACCTCTCTTTTCCCGTTTTCGGACGGCTTTCCGCGGATACACTTTTTTGGATTGTGGAAAATCGCTGTGCCAAAAAACCAACCGAACCGCTTTGCTCGAGCTCCGTTTGAAAAATGAAACTGAAACCGGCAGCCGGCAGCCGGCAACTCCAAAGCCGCAGAAAACTTGGCTAACGAAGCCGCTTCGTGCTGGTTACCCGAATGTGTGAATTTTCCACGATGACGGCACGACAGCACACCCTCGCAGAGTTTTCCATTTTCCGCTGCACTACTGGGACACCCCTCCCCGAACATCGCCATCGTGGGATGGTGTTTAATGGTGTTTATGAGATAATCAGATGTGCATGTTCCACGGCTGGGTGCTTTATTTGCCCTTGGAAACATGATCTCATATCAAGCACTTTTCTTGACAGCTTCTCTTCAGTGGGTTTGGGGAAATATTTATTCAATATTGGGAAAGGGCTTGCTTATCGCGAAGTTGTTATTGGTCTTGGGCAAATCTGAGAGGCTGCGTTCCAATTAAGATAAAAGGGTATTCTCTGGCCACCCCGTTCCATTGACTTTACTTATTTCTTTTTATTTGGGTGCGTGTGTGTTGTCGAGTGTGCTAAGTGTTTGGGTCTGATTTCTTGCCTGCATCTTGGCCTCCTAAGCATCGGGAACTATTTTAAGTTTAGTGTAGGGAAACAAGTGGCCAACTCTTAATGAACATGGACATCGGGGGCGGTGTCAGCAATTGCAGGCGGGGCACACGGGCTTGTCCCCGTCGATGGTGAAGGTCTGCGAGGTGATGGGATTCTCGCACTTGTTGCACCGGAAGCAATCGCGATGCCACTTCACGTTCATGGCGATCACCGCCGAGTCCGTTATGGGCTTCTCGCACTTGGCGCACCTGGCAGCGAAGAGGTCCTCGTAATCCTGTTTGCAGTAGGCCTTGCCGTCGCGCTCATAGAACGACTGATTGGCCAGAGGCTTCTTGCAGGCTCCGCCGCAGCAGAAGCAAGCCTCGTGCCAGCTCTCGCCCATGGCGCAGATGGTCCTTTCGAGGATGGGCTTCTTGCAGCCGGCACAGGTGTAGGTGTACCGCTCCACGAAGCACTTGTTGCACACCGGCTCGCCGCTCTGGATATTGAAGGTGGCGTCCACGATCTGCTCATCGCAGTGGCGGCACAGGAAGTGCTCCGGATGCCACGTCTTGCCCAGGGCGGTGATCATTCGCTTGGTGATGGCCTCCTGGCACTTGTGGCACACAATGTCCTCAGTCATCTTGGCCTTTCGATTGGTGTCTGCTAACGAAACATGTTTTTTAATAAGCACAAACGACAGTAATACATTCGATAACATTGAACATTGAGGTTAAGCTACAAAATGACAGGGTTTCTGTCGATTACTTTGTGGAGAGAAAGAAAGCTAGGCATCAATCGATAACACAGGGCAACCCAACATCAATGAGAATATTTCGAATTTTCTATTAGTTTTAAAGCTTGAGACATTTCTTACTGTTTCACGGTTTTGGCGTGTGTTTCTCTCCTTCCTCTACTTTCTCTCAATGTTGTCTTCTTAGTTCGTTATCGTACTGTTCTCGTATATCAAAAAATTTGTTACAGGCCCACCGTATTTTACTTTACTTTTTTTTAGATGGTTCACACAAAATGGGAGAACAAAAGAAGCATACGGATTCGGACAAATTTGAATACGGTTTTTTTTTTTAGAAATTTTGATGATTTTATTCAAATAAATATAGAAAACGAAACGAATGAAAACGTATGAATTTAGCAAGACTCAAAAACTGAATGAGATATTCGATGGGAACGATGGGTCTATGGTTTGACATCTGAAAAAAATACAAGCACCGCCTACTGGACTGGATATATTTTGATTTTCGTTTCCAGGCTACTTTAATTCTTATGCTGCTGTGACTTCTCCTTAAATTTTTGTCAAGTGTGTTTTCCTTGATTATAAATTCAATACATAGCTTTCGTTCTATCTATTGTGCAAAGGATACTACACATACTTTTGGGGGTTGCCTTTACAATCATCGAGTATAAGAATTAGTCACACCAAAAACCATTAATAAATTGCCCTAACAGGATAATAATAAGGGAGGTCTTCCACTTCTAAGGGGGATTTCTGGAAACGGCCGGCATTTCCTTGAATGCGCTGCTAGAATGTGTGCATTATTAAAATGTGTTCCACGCGAATTTATTAAAAAATGTAATTAAAGCAAGAATTCTTAGAAACTCCGCTTAGCCGGCAATTAACAACGGCTACACATGCGTAGAAATGACTGCTCTTTTAAGGACTCAACTATGCACCACGAAAAAATGATTTCACTGAAAGAAATATCACCTACACATCGAATTTTTAATATAAAACAAAACTGTAAACTCTTCCATAACAGTGTTAATCGAGTGTATCAACTAATTGCAGATGACTTAGAAGACTACAAATAAAGATTAAAAATGACCTGGAGTAATTGCTCAGATAGCTGGGACTACTGCACAAGTTAAGTGTCTTTTTTTCGTGTGCATGTGCCGCATCCCTCGTTCCCTGGTGGAGATGGTCACTGGTGGAGCACAGCAATGTGGGCGCTCGCTACGCAATGGGTGGTGCGGAGTTCCGGGTGGCGCTCGTTCCGGGTGGTGCCCGTTCCGGGTGGCGAGTGGGGGTCCTCGGCGGGAGGACATGTCACAATTTGGCTTGCGCTTTGATGCGGTGCAAGGAATTTGAAATTGCAGCACCATTCGGACGCCGTTTCCGGGCGAGCTAGTTGTGTAAGTCGGAGAAGAATTTGTGTCAGGCGTCTGTCTGCGAATGCCAAAGAGCGTGCGAAGCTCGTATGCCATCCACATCCTCGTCGTAATCCAGATCCGTACTCACTTCGCCGAATATAGGTTGACCTGCTCGTAATTATTAATATTAAATACCAAGAATTCACCATTTTAAACCGATAATTGCATCCAGGTCTCGCACTTTCTAATTGCTCAAAGTGGCGGAACATTATTTTTTGGCACGTTTATGGGACAAGTTCAAAGAGTTGCTCCTTGGGGCCACATAAATATATCCTTCAAACCAACCCGTAATTGCAAACGCAGTTGCATGACCCACAATCATTTATTTGGGTTTCTCGACTGCACTCGGGTGGTTTTATTCGTGTGAGTAAATTTAATTAGACGCTAGATTAGATTAGGCCAAAAGGGGAAAAGCCGAAATAACCCACAAAAAAATGGGTACTAGCTCGCAGTCAGGAAATTAGTCAGAAGATTTAGGAACTAGAATATGTCGCATTTGTGGAGATAAGCAGTATGTGGGTTACTGGGTAACTTCGGTTTTGACTTGTAAATTAGCTGCAGAACTTTGTCCCTTCCTTGGATTGTATTGTTAAAAAAAGCACAATTATATTGTGTAACAATTTAAAAGTATGTAAAGCTACTTGACGCTTCCCAACTTCCGCTCAACTAAATAGGTAACCTGAGGTTATTATTACTTATGTATTTACCCGATACTTGTATACTATATTTGTTGAGAAGTATGTAACAGGTATATGAAATCGTTTCGGCGCTAAAAATATAATTTTAATCAGGATCACTAGGCGAATCGATATGGCCACGACATAGCTTGGAGAGGGAATTTGAGTTTCAGTGCATTATAGTGCACTATGCTATGTTTTCCTATTTTCTTTACTCATCCATTTTTATAAAAAATCAAGCAAAATAGCACAAGTGTTACAGTGTACATACATATGTAGACATATTACAAAATTAGCGTACTCTCTGGAACTTTTCATTTTTACAAAAATTACCCTTATTTAACCCACAAAAATGGATGTATGTTTGGTAGAATTAAAAATAAAGTAACGAATTTATAGTTTCCGTACACTCTACAATGTCGCGAAAATATTGTAATACATTTTAAATTTGATTTTACAAATAAATCGTATGCTTAAAGTACGGCTGCCAGGTTTAAATAACTAGGAGCTTTTTTACTGTTTGACCGAATAACAAGAGCATGGGCAGGACCAATGGCAGAAATGGGAAACTGGAGTCGCAATCAATTACGCGACGATTTAATTATGCATCCTGGGAACGTACAGGACACAGGTATCCATGTGTGTATTTACGAGACCCAGGGCGCATTGAACTTTGATTTGGATCAGCCCTCAGCACCAGAGTCAGTTGGTCGAATGGCATTTGAGTTGACTGATCATTGAAATCGTCTATACACAATAATTTTCCTGGGTTTAAGATACTGTAACATATAAAATGGCGGCAATTTGTTACTCCATATTTTCGGTTAGCTTCCTCCGGTGAGAATGTGCGTCTTTGAGGAGCTATTTGCTCAAGAACCAGATGAAATGTTGTGAAATATGCTTTAGTAGTACCTTAATGCCCATCATGTACCCTTTAAAGAGCTGGACGTTTTTATTAGATACAAATCATTACCCGTTAAACTAAACTTAACCACAAATTGTTCTTCTTGTGCGGAAAGTACCTTTTGAAAATTACTATTTAAAAAAATAACATTTAAACTTAATGTCATAGGAATGTCAGGAAAATGGTGGAAAATATTAGAAAAGAAATCCCACTTTCGTTGTTTTTAATCATAAAGTTTTTAGTCACACCATTCTCTTAAATATATATTATTTCGCTTTTAGTTTGATCAAATTCGCACTAATATATCATATAGCTGTCATTGAAGAGAGAACGACAGGTTTCTCGACTATCAGATACCCGTTACTCCGCTATAGGGAGCGAGGGACGGACAGACAACCAGGGCTAGATCGACTAGGATAGACACCCTGACCAAGAATATACATATACACCTTATAAAGTCGGAAACGCGTCCCTCTAACTGTTACATACCTTTCAACAAACCTGATATACCCTTTTACTTTGCGAAAACGGGTATATATGTATGTATGTATGTCTGATGTATGTAAGATTCTGCTAGTAGGGACAAGTGTCGTGGGCATATAACAACGCTGTTCCTCTCAGCACAGTTGATGTTGTTTAGAATGCACAGAGCAAAACAAACTGCACCAGGCGCTCTCTTGGGATCTGTGTATCTCGCGCGCCTTTAAATTTAGCATAGCCTGCTTCCGTTCTGGTTTCTATGCCGACTATTACTCATTGCATTGCAGACCTCAGAACATCACAGTTGAAAGTGGGCACACGTTTTGGCTTTTTCAGCTTTACATCATCAGCAAAACAGCCTTTGGCAAGTTTAAGGTCCATGGATAGCTGGAAGCTATAATGTGCAAAATGTATTCCCTGTTCCTCACTTACTTTCTTCTGAACGCCTTGCCAGTCCTCGCAGACAGAAGTCAGTTTATGGTGGGTAAGTGTTTGCGATTTCCCAACTAGGTCACAGTCTCGACCGGATCGGTACAGTTCGCATTTTCTGCAGGCAGCATCTTCACATCAGACAAAGATGAGTCGGAAATCGCATTCCGGACAGCGGTGGACCGTGCAAACATACTGGAGCGGAACGTAGAGCTGGTTCCCATTGTGGTGTATGCTAACACCGATGACAGTTTCATCATGGAAAAAATGGGTAAGACCTGGGGGCTGCTGAAGCGTACTGTTTAAATGGTGTTTAAAAATATTGAAAAGCTTCCGATTCTATTAATGCATCTCACCTTTTAAGTGTGCAACTTGATTTCCCAAGGAGTAATCGCCATTTTTGGACCCAGCACAGGCAGCAGTTCAGGTGAGCAGCACGTGATTCAAGATTGGGCACTAAAGCTCATGTAATCGAGTTCCCTCTTGCAGACATTATTGCCTCAATATGCGACACACTCGATATACCGCACATAGTATATGACTGGATACCCAATGAATCCATACCAGATCGAGAACACTCTACAATGACCCTCAACGTGCATCCTGACAACCTCTTGTTGTCCCAGGGACTTGCGGAGATTGTGCAGAGCTTTTCCTGGCGTAGCTTTACAGTTGTCTATGAGACTGACAAGGGTGAATTCTAAAGGGGGATCGCGGAAAAGGTTCTCATTTTTCTGTCCACATAGAGCTTCAACAACTTCAGGATATCTTGCAAGTCGGTGAGCCCAGCAGCAATCCAACCACATTGAAGCAACTGGGCCCGGACGACGACCACAGGCCTTTTTTAAAGGAAATTAAGCTCTCCACCGATAACTGCCTCATCTTACATTGTGCCCCCGACAAGCTATTGAAAATATTGCAGCAAGCAAGTGAGCTAAAAATGTTGGGCGAATATCAGGTTCGTATTCAATAAGTGATCAAAAGTGTAACCTAAGGACGTTTTTATACCCCAAGAGCATTTTTATACCCCTTCTGGACACCCATTCCATGGATTTTGGTGAACTTTCCGGTGTCGATGCCAACATAACTACGGTTCGACTAATGGATCCAACCGACTTCCATGTGAAAAACGTAGTGCACGACTGGGAGGAACGCGAAAAACGGGAGGGACGCTACTTCAAAGTCGACCCAAATAAGGTGAAATCCCAAATGATTCTGCTCAATGATGCCGTGTGGCTCTTTGCTAAAGGACTCACAGAACTCGGAATTTTCGAGGAGCTTACCGCTCCCGATCTAGAATGCCGGCGAAAGAAACCATGGCCATTTGGTAAACGCATTATTGAGTTCATAAAAGCGGTAAGACATTTTGAAAATTTAAATATGGCTTAGAAGCATTACAAATTTCCCTTCCAAAATTATCCAAATGATCCAGATGATCTGGCGACCTGGTAATGTCATACAAAATAGTCGTACATTGACACACGTTTTTAGTGTATTAACTTTATAAAAACGTCAGCAATTCTATCGTCACTTATAATCAAATGAATTTCTTAGCGTTCCGAGGAGACTTCGACTGGACGAATTGACTTTAATGAGAATGGACAAAGAAGCTTTTTCACCCTGCGTTTTATGGAATTAAATTCCGATGGCTTTCTGGACCTAGCCACTTGGGATCCAGTGAACGGATTGGATGTACTCAATGACGACGAAGAGAGCGAGAAGAGAGTTGGCCAAAAGCTGTCCAACAAAACATTTATTGTGTCCTCACGCCTGGGAGCCCCATTCCTTACGCTCCGAGAGCCGGAGGAAGGTCAGATCCTGACGGGGAATTCCCGTTACGAGGGATACTCTATAGACTTGATCGACGAAATTGCCAAAATGCTGAACTTTAAGTTCGAATTCCGAATGTCCCCCGACGGCAAGTACGGCGCTCTCAATAAGGTGACCCAGACCTGGGATGGCATCGTGAGGCAACTGATTGATGGGGTACGTTAAATAATAGTCTAGTAATAATATATTAATGTGTATAGATCGGGATAACAGGCCGTGTCGATCTGGCCATGTCCTCTGTCTGTCTAGCTTCTTGGCCTTCTAGTGAGCTTCTAGTGAGTCTAGTGAAGCCAACTATTTCTATTTCTATCGATATGGCACAAATATTTCGGTCACGTCCACTGTAAAGACACAAACCGCAAAAAGCTGTACCGCTTTAAATTCAAAAATGTTTTAATTTTGATTTTTTTGATTTAGCTATGTTTCTTGTCAGTTTTCTTACACTCAAACTTTCGCTTGCTAAGTAACTAAGTAACATCTGATAGTCGAGGAACGCGGCTACAGTGTTATCTGTTGTTTTCCTTTCAGAATGCTGACCTTGGAATCTGCGATTTAACAATGACGTCATCCCGACGCCAGGCAGTTGACTTTACACCCCCGTTCATGACGCTAGGAATCAGCATACTGTTCTCGAAGCCTCCGACTCCACCCACAGACTTGTTCTCGTTTCTATCTCCATTCTCCTTGGATGTGTGGATCTACATGGGCTCGGCATACCTCTTCATTTCCCTTCTTTTGTTCGCACTGGCTCGCATGGCACCCGACGACTGGGAAAACCCTCATCCGTGCAAGGAACCCGAAGAAGTGGAGAACATATGGTCGATCATGAACACTACATGGCTCTCGATCGGCTCATTGATGGGACAAGGCTGTGACATTCTGCCGAAGTAAGAGGATGTTATAAGGGCATTCTTTTGTGTTAAAGATCGATTATTTTCCAGGGCTGCCTCCACCAGGTTGGTCACTGGAATGTGGTGGTTCTTCGCTCTAATGATGCTGAATTCCTACACGGCTAACCTGGCTGCCTTTCTGACCAATTCTCGCCAGGCGAACTCCATCAACAGCGCCGAGGATCTGGCTGCTCAAAGTAAAATTAAATACGGTGCGATGGCTGGTGGTTCCACAATAGGGTTCTTTCGCGACTCGAACTTTAGCACTTACCAGAAGATGTGGACCGCCATGGAAAGCGCCAGTCCTTCAGTTTTCACAAAAACCAACGACGAGGGCGTCGAGAGGGTGCAAAAGGGCAAGAATCTCTACGCCTTTTTGATGGAGTCCACCACCTTGGAGTATAATGTGGAGCGGAAGTGCGACCTGGTGCAGATCGGTGGCTGGCTAGACTACAAAAGCTATGGCATTGCCATGCCCTTCAGTAAGTGCTGACAATAGGACCTTAAGATACAATATACATACATACCATCTATGTGTGTTTCCCATTCACTTACTAGGGACTTTGGTTAGGATGCGGAGAACTACCTTTACGTTTCTTAGACCTATTTTCACCTTTAATCTTTTTAGAGTCTGCAACAATTGAATCGCTATAGCCGGAAATATATTCCGATTAGCCACTTCTCTGATAGCACTTTGCCCTTCTCAGTCCTGTGTCCCTAGGGATTGCTCCGATTGTACTGAGCTGCCTCTATCCTCTAATCCGTTATTCTAAAAGTTGCCCAAAATGAATACTTTCTTTCAGATTCCCCGTATCGCAAACAGATCAGCGCGGCAGTGCTAAAGTTGGGCGAGCTTGGACAGCTGGCGGAACTAAAGCGAAAGTGGTGGAAGGAGATGCACGGCGGCGGGAACTGCGAGAAGAGCGACGACGATGGAGGAGACACGCCCGAGCTTGGACTGGAAAACGTGGGTGGAGTCTTCCTGGTGCTGGGTCTCGGTTTGTTTGCAGCCATGGTTCTGGGATGTACGGAGTTTCTTTGGAACGTCAAATCGGTAGCAATTGAAGAAAAGGTAATTGTTATTTAAATTGTAATACTCGATACTCACCGAGTAAAGGGTATATTAGATTCGTTGAAAAGTATGTAACACGCAGGAGAAAGCTTTTCCGATCATATAAAGTATATATATTCTTGATCGGGATCAATATCCGAGTCGATCTGGCCATGTCCGTCTGTCCGTCCGTCTGTCTGTCCGTCCGTCTGTCCTTGAGAACGCCTCGATCTCAGGAACTACAAAAGCTAGAATGTTGAGACATAGACCCAGCGCAGCTTGTTGACCCATGTTGCCACGCCCAATGTAACGCCCAAAACTGCCAAATGTGTTTGAAATTCTTCCATTTTTTTGTAGTCGCGTAAATTTCTATCGATTTGTTGCCACGCCCACTCTAACACCCTATTTCTATCCATATGACAACCAAATGTGAAAAGTGATAGCTATAGCATGATCTCTTGATTATTTAAAGATCTCGCTGAAGGACGCTTTTAAATCAGAGGCCTTGTTTGCGGCTAGAATATGGATAACCACTAAACCTGTACATACAAGTTCTGGGTCTGGCAGCTCATCATCGTCCAGTTCCACGTCAAGTCGCTCCAAGCATTCTTTCAAGTCGCAGGGATTGTCAATGAAAAGTCTTAAAAGCTCAGGGGACCAGGACGTAGAAGCTTCAGTCCACAGCAAGCTGAAGAAAATCGGATCCATGTTCTCACTAAAGTCACAGAAGACGGTCACTCCACCTCCAGAGATAGGCTGGAAATCAGACAAGTCAACGCAAATCGATGAGGTTCTAACTACTCAAGACGATCTTGAATTGATGCCGGAGATAGAAGCACATCCCCCACAACGGCACCATCATCACCATCATGCTCGCCATCATCATCACCATCATCAACCCGATCACGCGCATGATAGGAATTCTTTGTCTCAAGAGTAATCAGTTCTTGAAACTATTTAACGGTAAATTAAGAATAGTTTCAGAGCAATCTTTCATTGTAATTCTTTACTATATCAATATAAATACCGAACTCCCCCGAATAATGGACTTTTAACTGGTAGGTATTGACAAAATAAATGGTACCAATTAAAAGTGAAAGCTATTCACCGTATTAAGCTTTAAAATAGTATGTTTGAAATGCGCTTACAATGACAACATATTGGAACATAAATGATATAAGTTATTTGCCCCTGATATAAGCAATGGATTTAGGCAATGAAACCGCTCCCATAAGCTAAAATTTGTTTACCCGTTACTCGTAGAGTAAAAGGGTATACTAGATTCGTTGAAAAGTATGTAATAGGCAGATGGAAACGTTTCCGACCAAATAAAGGTCCGAATAAATATTCTTGATCAGGATCAATAGCCGAGTCGATCTAGCCATGTCCGTCTGTCCGTATGAGCGCAAGTTTGTTTCCAAATTAGCCACGCCCACTCCAACTCCCACAAGCCGCCCAAAACTGTCACGCCCACACTTTTAAAAATGTGATATGTTTTCAGTTTTCATTTTTAAATATATGCTGTAAATTGCTATAGATTTGCCAAATACTTTTGCAACACCCACTCTAACGTCCACAAATAGTACAAAACTCTCACGCCCAAACTTTTAAAAAAATTTTATTTTTTTTTAATTTTATTATTTTTTTCCAATTGCTACCGATAATCCAGAAAACTTTGAAATTTCTAGTTAGAACTTCCACTAGCTCAGTAACGGGTATCTGATAGTCGGGGAGCTCGACTATAGCATTCTATCTTGTTTAAATGTGTATTTTCACTTGCATCATTCATTTTGCTGAACAGTTTGATTTTTCGATGTCTCCTGTATTCTTTCATACGTTGGAATAATATAGTTTCATAATCAAAACATTTACCAAAGTTTGGGCCAGAATTTGAAAGAAGTTTGCGCTGCGTCAACTTCAGTAGGATCTTTATGCCTAATCTTAGCTTTTCAGTTCCTAAAGTTTTCGAGATCTTCTCGTCCATACGGACGAGCAGACAGCCGGACATGGCTAGATGAACTAGGCTAGTGATCCCGATCAAGGAAAATCTTAATGAATAAATAATGGCTTTACGAGTAACAGAATTCAAAATACTATTTCGATAAGGCGACCAAAAGTTTTCCTTATCCCAATTCTCTGTTTGATCGCAAAGTTCTTATGAGTTTTTTGTTTAATAACAAAAGGAGAGTTTTTTGATTGTTTGTTTGATTTTAAATATTTTTATTTAGCCTTTAGGTTTTTTCATTTTTAAAATCTTTTTTGGTTTTCTTCTTTTTTCTTTTACGTACATGAATAATTCCATTATACTGCTAAGTATTTTCGTAATGCTTTCGAATTGCAAATTTAATTTCGAAGCTATCGTTGTCCTATTTAAATTATATTTAATTTTTAAATTAAATACATCGAATTTTTACTAAAATAATTAAATAAGTTTTTATTTGCTTCTTAGTAATATAATATTTTTGCACACTTTTGTTAATTTATTGCAAAGCTAGTTGAATATGTTTTTTTTTTTAAGGTACATCATTTGTTTCTTTTTTTTGTTCGTTTTTGAGCTTCTACCGCACAATTTTATTATTTAATTCTATACAGTTATACCTAAATTTATATAATACAAAGATACAGAGTTTGAATTAGTGCCTAAGGTTTAATAATGTTGACCATTAGGGCAAAAATAAATTAACACAATAAGAAAATCAAGTTTTTTTACGTGTTATTCTTTTAGGTACTTTTATATACATACATACATACATGATTAGATGCACATACATTTTAAGGGATGCTTCATATAAAATAAAATACTTTTCAAACGAGTATTTTCGCTTCATATAGGAAGGATCGGTAGATATAGATGTCATAACGGTTGTCTGGGACTACTTGTCATAGGTGAATTAACTAATGTTGCTAATTAATCTGCTGTCTATCAACTATGACCATATCCTTGATGCTACGGCGACGTGGTCAATCCTTAGCGGTAATTGCCACTGGCGGAAATTGTCGCTCATCATAGAGCTTTGTTGGGGTGTCGATGGCATCGCACAGCTTGCGAAACTTGGCAGAATCTGCGGATGAGGCATTGTTAGACAGGCTGTTCGAAAATAACTATTAATATTTGCTCACCAGACATCGCATCTGCCTGGTCACCTTTCAGGATGCTTGCGTAACTGTTGTCTTGCATGGGATCCGGATTTTCGATGAGCACACTGGCCGCACAGCTCTTAAGCATCGTAAGCGAAGGCTGCGTCAGAGTTGACGGATTCGAAGGCTTGATCTGTGACCTCTGCAGGCTTTCGCTGAGCTCAAGCTCTATAACATCCTCCAGGGCTCCGCGCAAGTCGTGGACAGACAGCAGTTTGCAGGAGCCGCCTCGATCCGCAGGAAACTCGTGCACGTACAGAAATCCGTCCTCGCACGCAATCAGCAGACGTGGCTCCTTCTGAACACGGGTCAAGGCACATATGTGCTTTAGGCCGCCCTGAGCCAGCTGCACCGTGGCGAAGGATCGGTCCTGAGCCAGTACTTCGCTGACTTGCGTGGGCAGCAGCAATGACGACACAGCCTTCGAAAACATTCCGCCCCAGGTAGCGACAGGTCTGCTGCTCTCCTCAGCTGCTGCGGATGCCGCTGATTCCTTGGCAGAATTTTCGGATTTGGCAGCCACATCGGCTAAGATGCAAAGGAAACTTGTATTTTATAAAAGTAATATAATATATATATAATATAATATATAAATAATAATAATATTCAGTTACTTTTTTGTTCAAAAATATTACATTGTTAAAAAGCTTTCAATGTTTTATTATGTTAAGGCATCCAGGCAACGGAGCTCATTCCTGGTCAACATACTCACCTATCGCCTTCAGCTCAACCGTCTCCACTGCACGCGCATCGATCTTGAAAACGTGGATGGTCTCCGTGTTGGAGGAGGCGCAGAGGAAGTCCCCACTGGCCGAGAAGACCAGTGAGGCAATGCGGACACAGCTGACGCCCCTCCGGAATTCCTGCACTCGCTGGCCATTCTTAACACAAAAGACCCGGATGACGGTCCCGCGCTCGGAGGCGGTGGCCAGCAGGGCACCGCTGGGCGAGAAGGCGAGAGCTGAGAGGGACGTGTCGTGGGCCCTGATGGTCATGCCCGTGCGCAGCTTGCTGGCGTTGAAGATACGCAGCTCGCCGCTCGTTTGGCAGACAGGGAAGGCCAGGTGCGAGTTGAGGGAGAGGGCGCACAGACCCTGCTCGTTGGGCGCGATGTTCTCGATGGAGTGCAGGATTTTCATGTCGCGGATGTCGTGGATGTGTATGCTCTCCGCCAGGCAGACGATCAGACGCTGCCGGTTCATGCGGACGCACAGGATCTCCGACGGGTAGAAGCAGTTGCAGATGTCCTGCTTCTTCTTAAAATGGAGCATCTTGAGGCAGTTTGGCTTCTGGGCGGTGACCAGCACCACCAGCGAGCTGTTGAACAGGCGCTCTACTATTCGGATTTGCTCCGTGTTGTCCTTGGCGAATATCTCCTCCACCTTGTCCTGGCTAGTAATCGAGAACAGGCGTAGACCCGTGGGACTCAGCACAGACAGGGAACTGTCGGAATACACAGAAGGTGAATAAGTGTTACTAATGCGGCAAAAGAAGTATAGCGATTGGGAAGTTGCAAAGCATCGAATTTTGTATTTTTGCTACTTTGTGTATAAGGCGCTTAGGATGAAAACCCTTGACCAACAGAGGTTTTCATAATGCCTATATCCCAACTGTTCAAATAATTTGGTAATTAAAAATTCGGCTTTTACAAATTATGTCCATAGCACAAAATTGTTTGCATACGAATGACTTTAAGAAGACAAAACCAAAATACCATCAGATGCAAATGTAAATTCGCACCATACTTTGCAGTTCGACCATCCAGTACCGAATGTCGTTAATAAACTAAACACGGAAGGGGTATTTAACAAGCTTTAAATTTATTATTCAATTAGCCCTCTCGGGCTTCCAAAAATTGCCGTAGTGGACGGTATTTCACGTCCCCATGGCGGGGTATTGGTTAAAGTTTTCAACTAGCAATAACCGCACCTCAGGAGGACTTCATTGGTTACGGTATTGCCACTGCGCAAAGATAACTAAACGCTGGCATTCGACTCTACTGTATGCCGGCGCTGTTAGAAGCAGTTGGGAATTATATGCGCACACGCACGCGAAAACCTCCCAAGCGACGAGTTTGCAGCCGGTAAAAAGGTGCAGCATGCTTTTGGGCTCCCTTGCTCTGCTCTTTTTGATACCTATGCGATGCAGGCACTTTTGGGGAGGCTTTTCAAGGGTGGGTTTCCCACAGTAGCCGTTGCACAAACGGATTAAGTTCTTCCAATGACCAACCACTTGTTGAACCAGCCGCACGCAGAAAATATTCTTCTTAGATGAGCAAAATCGTAACATATTTGAGTGCGAGAACAATATTATTGGAAAAGAAATTCTTGACTAATTATGAATTTTTGCTCGTACCAAATTTGATATTTAAAATATTACAAATTATATACATACATACGTACATATACATATATTGTAATTCGTGTCGAAAATCAAAAAGTAACAAAAACAAGGCAGCTTCACTATTAAACGCAAAAGAAAAATATAATGAAATAGTGGTAAATATGCTGTAATTGCCACAAAAATAAAAATATTTAATTTAACAAAATATATATACTTGAATCTTATTTTTTTAAAACTTTGAGCATATGCTTAATATGTTACCCTGGGCCAAAATTTCGGTCAACATGCATATTCCTCCTTAGAGGGCACTGTTTTTACAGAGCAAAACCATAAAGCCATAAAACCATTCTAGTTACAAGAGTATGTAACAGGAAGAAGGAAGCGTTTTTGACCCTATAGAGTGTATATTCTTGATAAGGATCACTAGCCGAGTGAATGTTCACTTTTAAACACCTAATGTTATTATTGCCGCGATAATTTAATGAACGGTGAGCTTATTTCAGGACAAATATTCAAACTTTTCCAACTCCAAATATTAATACATATTAAAGTGTTAATGTATAATTCATTTGTCAAAATAATGAGGCATTCAAAGTGTTGATTTAAAGTGTTTAATTAATTTTGTCGAACAAAAGAGTTAGTACTAGATTTGTTGCTTGGGCAACTTATTAATAATTTTTTGTGATGATCGACAAGGCTCTTCATTCACTACATTTAAATAATAATGTTTCAGCAATTCTTAAGTAAATGTTAAAATAAGTAATTCTAAATCACAATAAATCGTGTCTTTGAATGACTTATGTTTATTATTTGGAAGTAATCATTTACATATATAGGACTACCCTTCTAAATTGTAATACTATTTGACATGACATAAATTAATTAATCAGTTTGTAAATCATTGGACCGCAAATGGTCCAAGTTTGAATTGAAATTTGTAGACTATTGTTTTGAGTTCAAACTTGGATCTTCTAATTCTGCCCATTTTCTAAATATAATTAATCTTGAGATCCATTCTTGAACATTTTCGAGATGCTCCACTTCCACTTTCCGCTCCACTTTGTACTTGGTGCTAATTGTCAATATTTTTTATTCCCGTGCTCAGAGGAGGTCGCTTGGCGACAACTGGGACTCTCCCTCCGCCAGATAGATATGCATGGCCTTGAGAAGCAGAGCGATTCCCAGCTGCTTTTTCTGTTTCATGGTCCATGACTGAGCCGGCCCGTAGTAGTCGCCGCGCTTCATATTGGTGAGATGATTCAAGCCCAGAGCGTCTATTATAGACGCTTCGCGCGTGTATGCATCAATTGGCAAGATGTTGTGAAAAACATGCAGACATACGACTCCACTCCCATGTTGCCAAATGTTCAAGATGCGCTCCAGCTTACGGCTTCCCATCTTGCAATCTCCCGGTGGCGGGGAGCGGAACACATCTGGCTGCAGGGTGCGGAATCCGCCGACGCGTTCCCCATTTGTCTTATCCTTTTCGCGCTTCTGGTGAAGGCGTGTGTGCTGCCGCATGGCATCGTAAAGGTGAGCGTACGGTCGCGACGATTTGCCCTTGCCTACGTAGAAAATGGAGTCCAGAAAGCGCTGCCATACCCCGAACTTTTCGAGAAAAGCGCTCTCTCCAGGCAGATTCCGCGAAATGCGTGGATCGATCAACATGTAGATGAAGCTCTGTTTGAGGTGTCCCTCTCGCATGTTTTTTTTTGTTACTCCACACTTTGCAAAATGAGCTGCAGAGGCTGCTTCATGTGGCAAGTAATCATTAATCCTCGCAAAGTCCTCTGGGGACCGCAGCGTGCGATGAAGCTCCACAGAGTAGCGGATCTGTGCCTCCTGGGCATGCTTTTGGGCTGCCAGCAGCGCCTCCGTATTGCGTTTGTATTTGATTAGCTGCTTGATGTACAGTCTCTTAGTTGTTTTGGTAATAGGACCCACCGGAGCACCCAGTTGTGTCAACTCACGGCGCAAAGCATCCGTTTCGTAGTCTAGTGGCAGGGTATAATTAGTGCTCACGGAGCTTTCCAAATCGTGCCTCCTCTCTTTGGGAGTTTGCTCGATTGGCTCGATTTCCCGCCGTTCCCTATTCTGTAGGTATCTCGCTTCGTAGAAAACTAATCCATTCTCGTCGTCTGTGTGAACGTATGCCTCCTTGATTTGCAGAAAGTACTCATCCTGGCGTGGTGAGTTCTCCGCCACGTCCTCCTCGTCACCCTGGGCAGTGAAGAAACTGTGATCCGGGACTGGCTCCGGCTCCACGACGACCGCCTGAGAAACCTGCTCCACTAGCATCTCGAACACCTGCCGACCCGAGGTGGGAACATCCTCTGTCAGTGTCTTCGGATTGTCCTCATCTCTGAGCTTCTTCTGCAGGTGCTCCTTATAGCTGAAGTCGTCATGATAAATCGCATCATCCACCAGAGCTTCCACATGCTCGTCGTACTGATGGAGCAGGGACTGGCGGGCGCGTGAGCGTTCTACCTTCTCGCGCCAGCTTTCAATAAGAGTTCGCCGCTTTGGCTGATACGGATCCTCCGGCTGGTTCTGCCGTTGGCTCTGGATGAGTTGGGTAAGATGAGCTTCAGTGAGGGCAAATAGGTTCACAGACTCCTCATCCGGCAGGGGCGGAATGTCGGAGCAATCCACTTCCGTTGGCTCCGGAAACTTCGGCTGCGGTCGATGCCGCCTGTGAGTGATATTAATATAGAAGGGGGAAGTTACATCGTGATTGTACCTCGGCTGATTGGGCGTTAGAGCGTCGACCACCTGAGCTCGCTGCTGCTTCTTCTTGCTCTGCTTCTCGCGGAAGATGTGATCCCGGAGCAGCTGCAGCACCTCGAAGTGGCACTCCTCAATGGCGTAGTGAACTGGCAGCTTGTTCTCCTCGTCAGCCAGGTCCGCGCGAGCTCCGCGCTTCAGCAGCATCCCTACAAGTTCCGTCCGCCCGTAAATGCTGGCGATGTGCAGCGCCGTAGTCTGGCCGTCGCACAGGGCATTCACGTCGAGGTCGGGACACTCGAGAAACCGTTCCAGGATCCGCTGGGCCAATCCCCCGTTTCGCATGCCGCACACGTAGTGCAAGGGGGCCAGTCCGCGATCGCAGGGCACGATGCCAGCGTTTATGCTGTTCCTCTCCAGCATCGACATTATATCCGCCTCGTTCTCGTCCTCCAGGGCGTCCAGGAGGGTCAGAGCCAGGAAGTTGGCGCGCTGCTCCATCGCTGCTGCTCCTTGTATTGATTTTTACCCATGCACTCTCTCGCTCGTATTTCAAACTGCAATCAATTGTTCGCTTTATTCTCGCCTTTTCAATGTCAGCAGTGCCGCATTTTCCAGTGTGGCCATACTCGCAAGCCAGGCGGGGTTGCCAGATGTTCGGAGTCCCGGTTGGAGATTGGAGGTGGCCCGTATTTTTGAGCGGCACATTTGAAACCGGTTTTGCGATTTCGCAAGGCAAGGAGCTCTGGCAATTATTACGATTGATTTTTGGCACATAGTTGGCTTGCGCGCACGCTCCCCGCGATAAGCCTACCACAGTAAAGTGATCAGTGAGCGCAACACGTGTTGTTGCTATTTCTGACTATTTGTTCTCTTGAAACCGAAACTAGTTCCCGCCAAAGGCGTAACGACGCTAAAATGGGGCCCAAGGTTACTAGGCCCCTTGTTATGCGATAGCGCATTGAGGTCTCTTGTTTGTTGTTGTTCCCTGAGTTGTCTTTGTTTTCGCGTTGTTGGTAAACAAACGAGTGTTTAAGAAAAATAATCGCACACGTTTGCAAGGGTTTTTTTTACAAGGGGCATCGAAAATAAATTTACTCATCAGGCAAAAGTGCACACTTACGGTCGTTTGCATTAAAATTTAAGCTGATGAGTAATTGCTCAGGTTACCAAATAAATAACAACAAGCCCAAGAGCCTTGATGACACAGACTTATCCAACCAACTAGGGAAAATTAATGAATAAAATAAAACTTTTGACCTTAGGACCCAATGTTAAACACTGTAACTTTAAGTTCATATAGCCCTCCTTTAAAATTGTTTAGTTGATTTATACCACTTAGTCTTTAATACCACTTCTAAATATATATTAATTATTTTCTTTGAACAAATTTCGCAAATATCTAAAATTAGTACGTAAAACTTAGTCCATCTAAATTTCTAGCCAATTTTCTAATTTTTTTGTTAGATGTATCACAAAGTGCAAATGTACACCCCTGGTTTAATTAAGATTAATTAATAAAGGTAGTAATTAAATGAGAAAATAAAATAATGTAATTTCAAATTGTTGTTGCTTCACTTCATTTCGCATGGTAAAGAGCTCCAGCAAATTTGCATTAAACAATGCTGTTTACATTTCAAAATTTCCACATTACTGATAAACTTTAGACCGTTGTTTGTTTTATAAAAAACGAAATATCAGAGGAAAAGTCCCGAAAGATAATGCCAAATTGTTTTATATGCCTTTTAGCGTCCATTCACCCGCGCGGACTAATTGATTTCATTCTGATTAGAAATCTCCCTTCTCCCTTCACCGTCTTCTTTCTTTGTCTCGTTCTCTGTCTTGATCTATGACGCGCACTGATCAGCTGACGACATATTTCAAATGCACTGAGAGTGTATTCTGCTTTTCATTAGATTTTCACCACAAGTAGTCATATTGAAGTTTCCGTTACTTTCTTAGGCTTGCTTGCACTTTTTCCCTCACCTTGCTTTAAATGACATCAGCTGACCGAAAATAAACGTACCGTGCAATAGCGAAACTGGTTAATTAAGCTTGAGAGTAGAGGCTGCCTTCCAAGCTACAGTGCGCTACCGCAAGAGTGACCCCTCTTTGTTCCTTGTAATTTTAAAAAGCTATCTGCCTTATCGCTCCCAACTTTCATTTGTTCCACAGCTTGTGCGCTCATAGCACAGTTTGTGACGCGACTTCAGCTGTTGCGCATAAACACGCAATTGTGCTCCACTCGTGGGAGTGTTGGTGTCCAGCACAGTGGTCATCGCAATGGAAAAACAGCTAATCGGTCGCTTGTTGGCCAGTGTTGGCTAGCGGGTGGGACCGCCAGGCCACCCTCTTAGTTGGACAGTGTGCCTAGTTCGGTTACCAGCCCTTCCGTAACGGGAAAGGCATTCCAAAATAGATGAATGCATGTCATTGTAATTGGAACTGCTTGTTTGCATGTTCTAATAAACTACACACACACGAGTAATGACGCCAATTCACGCTCACCCACAAACACACTAACGGTCCCCGCCCACCTCCCCCACAGCAGCTGTTTTCGCCTTGTTTACCCGTCTCATTTGTCGATTTTTGTGTCTCAATTGCTTGCCGTGGTTTTGCCACTTTTTCGCTGTGGTGACCTTCCAAGCTTGGAACCAAGGATTTAAGCACAGATGTCGCTACTTACGTAAAGTCCTGGTTGAAGTTCATTTGATATGTGGTCATTGCTGCTGAAGTTTTGCTGATTGTATCTTTTTATCTAGTTACACTTTCACTGGCCTTTAGATGCTTTTTATTTTGGCTGTATCCAGTTGCAGTATTCCACCGTTTGGGTACACAAGATCTTGATCGACGATGGCAGATGAGCAACGCGAATTGATTTGAGTTGATACTGAAAATTAAATTCGTTTCGTTTGTGTCGTCTTTGTTGTTTTGCTGCGACTGTTTTTCTCGTTCTATCTATCAACAAATTCCCCCTACGCACACACACACAAAAATCTTTTGCTCATTGGAACTGGTTTCAGGAATCGAACCAGTCGTGTTCTTCAAATACCAAATATACCGTTAACACATTTGTGTAACGTAAAATGTAAGTTTTTTTGAAAAATTAATCTGGCCAATCTCCGCACTGGCCAATATCTGCACTCAGAAGAAATCATTAAATTCTTCAACTGAATTTCACACAATTACAGAATGATTGCGTTTGGTGAGTACAATTTGCATTCTATTAACCAAAATGTAAAATGTATATTTTTTTGCTCGTCATTGTACGTAATTTGCAAGATATAAGGCCTCCTAATTGATATCCCCGTGAATGCCGTTCCAACGATCCGTCAACATTCCAAGGACAAAACTTCCAATCCGCTTGTTCTAAAATTGTGTTCATATTTTCTATCACCGTAGTCGGCAGTACACGTAGTGACGAAGCGCACCAGGAAAGTGTGGAAAGGCGACATTTCATTCTGCCATAGATGCCGAAGCCCTGAAGCTAGGGACTTAAGCAAAAAGTATTTCCACTCTTTAAATGTGCATCTCTACAGCTCTTCGAATTCCGCAGCATTTATTAATTAATTGCACAGTATTTTTCGAAATATATATGAACATGAATATATATGTACATCTATGTATAAATGGCTACGAAACATTTATGTAAAACCACAGCAACAAAAGCAAAAAAAAAAAAAAAAAAGAGGGTCGGTAATGAGCTACATCAAATTGAGGCTGGGCAACTATAAAAAACTGATAGATCGTATTTAATAAAAAGTGAAATAAAAACAAATTTTTTTGCTTTGGCTCTTTTATCTAATCAATGAAAAAGAAATATGTTATTCAAAGTTTTAAAAATACCGATTTAATTGTTGTTTAATTTGGTGACTGTGAGACTTAGTTTTGCGTTATTTAATCTTTGTTATTTATATTCTACCAGAAAATAACAGCGCATTTTCTCAATTTAAATGTAAGTGACTTCTTTGTTTGATTTGGTGCTGTAAAATTGGATCATTTAGTAAAAATGCGGAACGCTAGTGGGAAACTAGTTCCCCACTGCTCCGGCTGCCAACTCTCTCCAAATACATGGTTGCAATCTGCGGTATTGTCGGAAAGTGAGAGCGCGGCCACACTGTAACCCACAACAGAAAATAAAGCCTTTTCGCTTGCTTTAAAATAGGATTTTAGCCCGTACAAGAGTTGTCTCGCGGCCAGAATTATGCACCCTCGAAGCCTCGCAGTGCCGTGCGACCTGAGAGCTTGAGCCTTAGACAAATGATTCGTGTTTGCAGTGCCCATTGTGCGGTTTTGTCAGAGTAGTATACAACATCCGAAAATTTTCACCCGTTCTCGGGGACGCATGAAAAATGGCGGCGTCCTCAGCTGCGGCTGCGGCGCCCACCAATCCGATCCCGCTTCCGACGGACTCGATATCGGAGGAGTGCAAGGACGACGACGCCCTCACCTCCACGCTGCACACATGCGCCAACGATCCGGACTTTGCGGTGATTTGCGCCTTCCTGCAGAAATTCGCCAAGGACCTGGGTCTCAGCCTGCCCAACTTCAAGCATCTGCAGGAGTGGTTGACAAACAACAACGAAGGTGAGTGGGCAAGGGAGTGTGGTGTGGTAAATGTGGGGGCAGCTCATCGCCAAATTAGGGTTTGCTAGGTTCAATTATCGTGGGGCAAGTGTCGGTGGAACCTCGGATGTAGGGTTTTCGAATAGGTTGCTTCAGAGGCTTACCAATGCTCCGCTCCGGAGAGCGTGCTTGGCTATGGAGAGAGAAAGAGAGTACACAATGGAGGAGAGAGCAATGCGATTTGTTTTCTTTTCAACACAATCACAATATATACAAAACAAATCTGGGAGAGACGTAAATACTTCCCACTGCTCATTTGCTCTGAATGAAGGCTTAATTTTACTTTTATTGCTTAATTCAGAGATGGTAAGTTAATTTTGTTTTGGACACTTCCACCTTTAGCTACTATTGAACAATACCATAAATCTGCATTTGAAAACATTTAAGGTCCCGAGTGGAAGTGAAGCTGAATAAATGTTTGTTTAAAAAGTAATAAAAATATAATTTTGTGTTTTTCATCGTAATTAACAGCAGATACAAAAAGCGTACACTTGCAGCAAACACGGTTACATTCATTGCATTTGTGCTCATATTAGACCCCCATATCCAATTACTATTGTGCATTTCGCAGTACATTTCTGAAAAATTAATTATAACTCATCTTTGCAGTTCCTGAGCTAAGGGACTTGCACATAAAGCTGCTCCGTAAGACCCGAAAGACGGTTCACGAGAAGAGTTGGGAGTCAGCGCTCAGCAAATTCTGCTTCGGTTATTCGGTACAAGATGCCTGGGAAGTCGAACGTTTCGGTTATAAGAACTCCAGTTTGAAGGTCAAGCTGCGAATATTTCGGGTGAGTGGCGAATTTCGTACCACTTGGTAAATAGTGCTAAAGGGCTATTCTCCCGTACAGGAACTTCTCGAAAGTCAGTTCGAGCGAAATGCCAAGTTTCGGGCACACATCCTCACCTTGAATGCGGATACCTTGCGCTCGGAGCCAATTGGAAGGGACCGGTTGGGACACGCCTACTGGCTGACCCAGGATGCCGACTGTAACCTGCGAATCTACCAGGAGCATCTGGACGAGGAAATCTGGCAGGTGGTTGCCACGAACCGGGACGAGTTTGTAAATCTCATTGCAAGGCTGCGCGGAAATGAGGTGGTACTTCCCTCGAAGGATATTGGTG